CTAAATTGTGGGGCTCACTCCATGTGAGGGGGCTGTGTAATTGACTGTACAACTAGCATTTTTCTTGTAATGAAGTTTATTAGTTTTTTTGTGGGGCTCACTCCATGTGAGTGGGCTGTGTAACTTAATGTGTACAAAGGCTGTACACCAAGCCTTGTTCAAATTGTAAACCTCATGGTGAATGTCAACTAGAATGTAAGTGTAGCAAAACTCAAAACTTTAATAATTTTCAAAAGTTTCGCGTGGAATGTTATAATTTGGTATTCAACTTATAATGATGAGTATATTGGAATGATAAAACATCCATATGAGTGTGTAGAGCAAGAATGGGAATACCCGAAATGAAACAAGAAGAAAAAATGGAGAAACTTAAAATTTGGCCTGGGTGAGTGCCCAACCTTGTTTTCAATAACTCGAGACCAAAACCTTGCCCTGGGCAATTGTCCGATTTTGTATTGGGCAATCGCCCATGCCAATTTTTTGACCGTTGGATTTAAAATTTCAGGTTCGTTTTGGGCACATTTTCATGAAAAAATATATCTTTTCATGAACCATTGAAGTCTTTTCATGGTGTATGAATGAGAATCTATATATATGAGATTGATTTCATTCCTCAAAACAATATTAACCACCAACAATTCAGGTCATTCCATATTAAAAGAGATTTATCAAAGTATATTTACATATTCAAACATCATTTGAAAGTAAAACACTAGTACTTAAGTGTTTTATTCTTTAAGGCTTGATCAATCACATAAACAATTTGCCAAGAGTCCCTTCAAGCACCAAAAAACAATCCTAGTGGGAGCAAAAATCGTTTGAGGACAACGGTCTCGTGTTTGAGCTTTTCTACTTAATTTGATGTTCTTGATTCTTTTTTTATTTTCCTACATGTAATCCATAGAAGAGTAGAAGAAAACTCACCTGCTAAAAATGGCTGAAAATGTTTCTCCAAGAATTAAGACATCACGCATAGTCCATAGATATATATAAAAGAGAGCACGCTCTAAGGGAAGCGCCACATGAAGTTATCTGTGGTCGAGTGAGTATACAGATTATTATTATTAATTCGACCTTGGCGTCTGAAGACTAAAATTGAATAAGTAAATCTGTTCTTTCTAGCATCTTAATCTTTGAAAAAAGTAGTTCTTTGTTTCTTACCTCCACGATCTGCAGTACTTATCGTATTATCAAGAAATCAAGACACAGATTAGCCCAATTCAATACCATTCCAAAAGGTCGTCGCAGAGAGAAAAAACGAGTCCATCTCCAGTTTTCACTTCTCCACATTTCATCATCACTACTTTCATTATAATTTTGTTCAAAAATATTAAGATTATCATCCGAAAATCCTTGCAATTCAAATCGACAAATAGGACAAGTATTGCGCCGGTGCAGCCATGGCAGAATGCATTCAGAGTGATAAAAATGTTTGCATGGCAGTTGTCTCACTTCTGTTCCAACCTCAAATTCATCCTTGCAAATGGGACACTGTGAATCATTCGCCAAATGGTCGGCCATCAGTGCCACGACCGGCAAGGCCTCCATGGCAGAATCAGGGGCCTGAGGCGGCCAGGGTGGCCTGTTGTTCTGAGTCAATTGTTGGATGAGCTCATTGGAGTTCCTAGAATTTCCGTTGTACAAAGCATATTTTGTTTTTGACATTAGATTTTAAAGTATTATCATCGATCTATATGATAGTGGATCCTATATGGTAATGATAAATCGCATTACTCAATAAAATATAATCAAAACGAAAACATTTATCTATACTAACATATTTTCATGAGGAGAAACAGGTCTTGGAGGCTGATCAGGGCCTATAAATTGAAGCAACATCAAAGCTTGGCGCCTTGCATGACTTCCATCGTCGAGATTTTGCTGTTGCCTAATTGGTGGGCCGAGCATTTGAGCCAAGGAATCCAATATCCGGGCTGTGGGGGATGGTTCCAGCCTGATGTCTAAGCCAAGTCTCGGCCTTGACATGTCGAGCTCGTGCCCTACTTGTCCTAAACAACGAGGACACTATATTTCAGCTGGATTGGTGGTCGTGGTTCTTATACTTTGTTGGCAATGTCGGCACCAGTAGTAGTGCTAGGTTCTTGGTCTCTGGATTCCATTAACCATAAAACTTCCGCGATTAACCACAATCGACATACTTATTAATAGGAGGGTACGATATGACTCGATCACTAAATTCAGCAATTAATGGTAGAAAAGAGAACATATTATTGGAGGTTTTATATGTAGATAGATTGTGAAGAGAAGACAGGAAGGTATGGCTTTTCAATAAATACAGGTTTCTTTTCTTGATTATCACGTCTCCTCTACCTAAAGTAAAGGATAAGCGATAACTTAAGAAATAGGATGAAAACCCTTTTTGTTTTCAACCAATGCAGTCCCTTGCCCCCTTTTTTTTGGGATAAAAGGCATTCCATCCAAGATAAGAATTTTTAGGCCTGCTTATCTCAAAATCTAATTCGGGATTTAGTATTTTCCCCAACGCAAGTAGGTTAATACTGAAGATATTACAAATTGTTTAGATTCCTCTCTTTATAGCCACCGTTAGCTAAATAATCGGCCACTTCGTTGTCCTCCTTGTATATGAGAAAAAAGTTGTAGGCCTTGTACATGGTGAATTTCTTCGAGACAACATACACGAGATCTAGCTTTGATCTCAGCTAGTTGCAATGCCTTGTCATTGGAACTCGACACGTGCATAACTTTTAGAAATGAGTGAAGACGAGACATGTGTTAAACTACCTCAACTGAAAGTTTTAAACTATCTTTGGCAGACACAAGTATTTGTTCAAAATCATGTTAGTTTCTTTATCCATTTTATGAAAACATTGGGAATTACTGTTCGTAAATTAATGTTCGATAAGGTAAATTTAAAATCTGTTTTTAATAAATTAGGACACGGAGGGTTCATATTATTATTCAAGTGTCCCACCCCCACAGAGGCGGATGGAGAGGGGGGCCGGCCAGCCCAGCCCAGCCCAGCCCCGCCCCACCCCAGCCCAGAAGCAAATTGATTTGTAAAAAGTGAAAATTACATTGACCCAGATTTTTTAAGATTTGATTTCAAATATCAGATATTATGTTTATTATTTCAAATATCAGATATTAATTCATCTCTATTGAAATTATAATTACTCAAACCCTAAAAATATTAAGTCATTTACCACATCTTCTCTCTCCTTGCCTCTCTGTCTCATTCCCTCTCTCCTCCTCGCCGTCTCCTTCCCCTCCCCTCCCCTCTGTCTCTGTCTCTGTCTCTTGCCTCTCTTACTTCTTTCCCTCCCAAAGCCGCCATCGTCGAAAGAGAGAACTGAATTCAGTCAATATGCGATTCAGAAATTTGTTGAGGACAAGCATAAGAGTATGCCGACTAACTTTAGGAAGCTTTTGGTGTTTCACTTGAAGAAGCTTGTGGCTTCTTGGAAACCTGGTCAGAACTCATACGAGCTCCCTCCGACTCGTTCGTCTGTGCGGTGGTTGGGGTTGGGTGCGATGGTTTCGGTGCGGGGGTTGTTGGCAGTGGTGACGTTGATGGTAGGGTTGGGAATTTTTATGGGTTGTAGGATGGGGGTGGGGGAGGTGGGGGTCCAGTGGTTTTAGTGGTGGTGGTAGTGAAACGATGGTTGTGGGTGGGTCGTGGTGGTAATGGTATTTTAGATGATGGTTTGCGAGGTGATGGCAGTTGTGGTGTGTTGTCGGTGTTGGATCTGATTTGTTGTTGGTAGCTGCGGCGACGATTGTGATGGTCACAACTTATCAAATTCGAGACGATGGTTTTGTTGCTGGGAGGTGATTTTGGTGGTTCTGACGATGGTGGTTTGGGTTGTTGCAACAGTGTGATGTGGTCACAAATGATTTGGTTGATTGTGATCAATAAATTGGTTGGTGTGCGACCAATTAACAATATGTGACCAATGAAATAGATAAATTGTGATCAATACATATGTGTGACCTAAAAATTTATTAATTTGTGACCAATAATTTTATAAATTGTTACCTAAATATAATTTGTGATCAATTAATTTGATATTTTGTGACCGTAAAAAAATTTGACTTATAAAATTTGTGACTTGACCATTAAATAATATGTGATTATTAATTTGATAGATTTGTGACTAATGAATAAATTGTGAGGTACCAATTTTTTATTTTTGATCGATAAATAAATTGTGACCTATAAAATTTTTGAATTATGACCGTAAAATAATTTGTGGAGTTATGCTAGAAAAACAGGGAATATTGACAGGCTTATTTTGACAGACACAGTTGGAAGGAGTTCATTGGAAGATAGAAATTTTTTAAATAAAAAGGCGAATCACAATCTGCCACGTCACGTTGGTTTCCAAACCCTGTCAACAAAGCCTGTTTGAGTGGCTTTACTGTAATTTGTGACATGAAAATTGCGATCTGTGACCGATTAATAATATACGACCAATTATATGAAATCTATGACCAAATTATAGCCCTGTTTGGTACACATTATTGTTTTCATTCTCATTCTTCTATTTATTTTTAACCATACATTTTTCAATAAAATAATATTTTACATCACATCAATAACTTTTTATTCTTTTCCAACCACATATTCCTCATCATATCAACAGTAAAAATATAATCTTTTTCCAAAAATGTGCACCAAACGGGGGTATATGTTATGATTAGGCTAACGTCCAAGAAGTGGTCCTTTTTGTTGAAGATTTGAAGACATACAACGCTGCAATGCCATTAATTTCTGCTAATTAGCAACCTAATATTCTTCCAAACTCCACACCCAAATCACTGCCTTAACAATGAAAGTACTCGTCTGTTATTAAGAATCCAAGCAACATTATCTCATTGGATTATCAAACACGTATACCTGAATGATTTTGGTAAGGTAGACGGACAACAATACTAAAAAAAAGAAAAATAAATTAAAATCTTGATAGTTATATTGTATATATCACCTAAATAAATTTAACCCTTTTTGAGGCCCACTATGGCATATGCCAGGGTTTGAAATTCAATGTATCTTTTGTCATTGTTGGAGAACAATGTCAAGGAAATAGGTCCTTTTTTGAAAAAAACTTGTATAAAGTGAAAGAAAGTGCCGCTAAAATAGAGGACTGAGAAACTCACTTCATTAGCAGAACTTGTGCCATTGCGCATAATATTGTGACATTGTCACTAACTCATTTCTCGCAATCATCGTATATCTGACATTTGAATACG